CCAACACCCCATCTGACTTTTTTTTAAGTTTTCAAACAAAGTTAATTTAGAAAGTAAATTATAGAAAGAGAGGAGAGTCACGTCCCAAGGTATGGGAGGGGGCAAAAGCTAAGAAAACATGGTTGCCATAGCCCCATGTGACATTATTAACAGGTCCTAAGTTCCCTCACCCAAAGGTTGAGGTGGAGTTCACCTACTGCCTATAACAGAAAAATCTCATTTTCTCCACTTCCACATCCACAGAAGAAGGCTTTTCTTCCTCTCACCACAAGGGAAAATATGAGAGTGAATACTTCTCCCCCCTCCTCTCTCCCCTCTCTCCTCTTTTGCTTGCTTTTCCATATGGAGGAAGGATCACTAATACAATCGGACAGAGATGGTTGGGAGCAATGGATGCAATGGGTGAGGTTATTTTGTTTCAAAAGTACAGAACATGTTTCAACCTGCTTCACTACCTACCCTGTGGATCTGTAAGGACAGCAGTAGACTTCTTTTTGCTTTATGCTTCAATACCAGAGTCTCGTCTGCAAAAGAGTTTATGATTTGCTTTCCAGAGAGAATCCTGGAAAACAGTTAGTCTCTCTTTTGCTTTCTGCATTCTGCTAGGGATTCCATTTACGAGGTCTGCAATCCTCCTTGCAGATAGCTGAGCCATGATACTTGGAGCCTAATTTTCAAGTCAAATCTCCTCATGGGTGGGGGAGGGGATTAGGAAGAAGTACTAAGAATTATGGCATTATAATTGCTAATCATTTCCAATGTATTATCTAGAAACAACTGATATCAAATTAATTACTTTGTACATGACAATGCTCAGAAAAAAAGAAAAGACACTTTCTTGGAAATTTTTTTTAAAAAAAGAAGTCTTGTCTCCAGAAATAAAGAGATTTCAGTCCAAAAAAGAATTATGGAAAAGGAATTGAGAGTCTCTTCTTTGTCCGCTGGTCCTACCTGTATTTTCCTGTCATGACTTACAGAGAACCCTGCATATGGAAGTTATCAGGTTCTAACTATTATTATTTTGAGCCCTCCTTAATTCTCTGTGAGCATTCTCTACTGCAAAGGACATAGATGTGATAAGTCTGTGCTTTTAATCTCTAACAGCATTCCTGAGCTTCTTTCTCTCAAAGAGGTACCTTGTCTGTGCCAGATTGAAAAGCATCTAATTTTAGAATGGGAGATCTGGCTGCCTAGTCTAATACAGAAAATCACACTAAAAATTAGTAAGAGGAAGAAAGAAGCATTCACTGCAGAGGTAACAGGTTTAAATATTCATTGATTACAATATTTTTATCAAAAATGATGAGGATGTTTATTGTGCTGGGAATATAAGTACTTAGTATTAGGAAGTGTAAGGGTTACACAAGACTTCTACCTCAGGCAGGGGCAGTGGCTCAACTTGTAATCCCAGCAGTTTAGGAGGCCGAGGTGAGAGATTGCCTGAGCCCAGGAGGTTCGGGACCAGCCTGGGCAACTTGGTGAGACCTTGTCTCTACAGTAAATCACAAAAACTAGCCAGGCATAGTGGCATGCATTTGTAGTTCCAGCTACTTGGAAGGCTGAGGCAGACGTGAGAGAACCGTAATAGAGTATACCATAAACTTAGGTTAAGAGCATGCTATAACCCAATAAATATGTAATCGGCTTGTGGACAATAGCACAGCCATCTTAGTTTTCTGCTTTAAAACATAACCTGTGCTGTTTAAAGTTTCAGTTATGGGAAAAACTGCAAAGCTCCAGTTCAAGCTTCAACCCCTTCCCTTGACCCACTTTCCCCTTAGCAACAACCAATCAGGTGCCAGGGGAACATCACCTGAAGTTTCCAAATGCCTCTGCAACTTCGCCAGCTAGTGGGCCAAGGTCAGCCCGAGTCAAGCTAGCCAATCCTCCACAATTGAGTTGACCACCAGAGGTTACTACCCAATTAAATGGTAAAAAGACTGGAAAGTCCCCCCAAACTCCTCCTCCCTTTGTGTAAAAACATAAAAGGTGTCTGCTTAAGGAAGTCAGGGCCTCTGGGTGTACTCCGCTGCGTCGGTTGTCGACAGAGGTCCAGGCTCGAGCTTGCAAATAAAGACCCTCTTGAACTTTCATCAGAATTGGCTCTTGGTGGTCTTTCGGATTGAACTTTCGGCCACTACAGAAGGATCACCTAAGCCCAGCAGATCAAGACTGCAGTTGCCAAGAGCATGCCACTGCACTCCAGCCTGGGTGACAAGAGTGAGACTCCAACTCAAAAAAAAAGACTTCTGCCTCTTGGATCCTATACTTTAGCTTATACTTTTACATATAAATGAAGGATATATATAACACAAGTAATATCATAAAATTAAACTAAAATAGTAATAATTCTGATTTAAGATGTTGAACTGAAAACATAATTTACTTACTGTCCCAATGTCCTCATTAAATCATTAAAGAAATATCAAAGAATAATTCAAAAGCAATACTAGATTATGGGTAAGTACACTAAGATTAAATCAGTTACTTGAAGAAATTTCAGGTATTAATAAATCAGACTGGATTGGATTAATAGAAAAGCCAGAATGCAGAAAGTTGCAAACCAATGTGTAAGTATGAATATGTGAAGGAATTATTAGTTAGGAAAAGAGGAATTGGAAAGGTTATAGCTTGATTCAGGAATGGGAAATGTTCTCATTAAGCAATCCAGGGAATATTCCAAGCTTAATACAATAAAAAATGGTAATGGAATTTGAAAGCAATCAATTATTCTTGTATTTCCAAAGCAACAGGGTCAGTTTAGTATTCTGTGCACTCAACGTGTCAAGAACTTAGCTCCCTAAAAAATAAAGGAGGCGTCTCTGTATCTCCAAAAACCTATAAATGTAGTGAGGCCTGATAGAATCAGAGGCAATTCCAAGGTAACCAGTTTTCCAAGTCAGAAACAGACAAAAAGTATGAAAAAGTAGCTCTATAGTTCAGCAAAATATACGGTATCATCTCTGATTCCAGATATAAAAGCTTCTCTATTTCAGCAAAAGATGAGGGAATCCAGCTCACCTTTCATTTTCCTCTTAACAGCCTGAAGGAAATTCTGCCTGTTAGCAAATCCCTGCACAATGACCTACAAAGTTCTACAATGAAGGCACAGGAGCAGTGACCTTCACAGTCTCTGAAAACTCACATCAACTTCCCAACCATCTGGTTATCATCTATGAATAGATAAGAATAACAATCTAAACATACCTGAGGGAAACTAGCATCATGAAAAGACCAGGATTTAGAAACAGAAAACCCAAAATCCCTAGAGAAAAGATTGAATGCAGTAAAAATAATCATTTATAAAATGTTTACTAATATTTTACAATTGTCCTTTTTAATATATCTTTGAGGAGGCATAAAAGTAAAGGAATCTGAGTCACAATAAAAGACAAGAAAAAGTTAATCTAAAGAGCCAGACTATTATTCACAGCCTATTATTCACAATAGCAAAGTCACAAAATCAACATAAATGTCCATCAATGGTGGAATGGATAAAGGAAATATGGTACATATACACCTTGAAATACTATCCAACCATAAAAAGGAATGAAATCATGTACTTCACAGCAACATGAATATAGCTGGAGACCATTATCCTCAGTGAATTGACACATAAAGAGAAAATCAAATACTGTATGTTCTCCCTTATAAGCAGTAGCTAAACATAGGTCCACATGGACATAAAGATGGAAACAATATACACTGGGTAGTTCAAAATGGGGGAGGGAGGGAACCAAAGATTGCAAAACTCCCTATTGGGTACCATGTAGCAATGACTTAAGTTCTTCCAGGACTGAACAAAATGTGTTACTTTTTAGAAACACAAGAGTTAAGCAACATTCAACAAACAGGATGCAATAAACCCATTTTGACAGTTTTCCTGTAAGTTTTTACTCAGTTCCTAGCAACAGAAATGGAAGATCTAATTGACATATCCTCTATTTCAGAAGGAGAAACCTATTTTTAAGTGGTATAAGTACTTCTACATTTATTACTACACTTATTAAAAGCCATGTTTATTTACAACAGAATCTAGCATATTTTATGGTTTTTAGATATTAATAATTACATAGTGGGAAATTGCCAGGGGAAGGGGGTAAGATTGGCAGTAGTGGGAAACTGCCAGGCAAGAGGGGGTGCACACCTCATCAACAAGGGTAACTGCATAATGAACATTTGTATACCTAATCCTGAATTATGTCCCACATCTTTAAAATAAAAATTTTAAATTACATAGTTGCTTTTGTTTCTTAAATTGATACTTATAAAATGTTATATGTACTCAGTACTTAGTCATCTATCCTTTCCACCTAAGAAAAAATATAAATAAATTGAAACATATAAGCAGACCTTTTTTAGTAAAAATTCACACACACACACCTATATATTGCTTCCTTAAAACTAGAGACACTATTTTATTATTCCTAGGACCTATTACAGTACCTGCCCACTTAGGTTTGTTTTAAATAAATAACACCCATATTATGATGAGGAGGGTTTTCTCACACTGTGTCCTTCTCAGTTCCTCTGAAGATACCCTACTGGTACACAGGAGCCCAGTGATCTAGAGTTCACAGCACTAACTTAGAGGTTTTGAAGATACTGTAAACCTAAAACAAGGCAAAGAGTGGGTGGGGGTTTCCATTCTCTTTTTCCAAAGAGTTTTACTTGGTCTATCCATTGGGTGAAGGCAGGAAAAATAACACATCCAGAGCTGTCATCTATTTCTCCTGCCACCAACTTCCTCTGACACAAGGGATAAGGAAATGTTGGGGTAAGGAGCAAAGAAATAATGGGGAAAATATTCACAAATCCAATTATCCAGGTCCATCACAATAAGCTATGAAGTCAAGTGCCTGTAGGTGTCCTTTGCCCTGGGACAGGTAGAACTAGGACTACTCACTGTGAAATGGCATCTGTCTATATAATCTAGACCAGCTATGGCACCTAGCTGTTTCCTTGGCAGGGGCCTAGGAAAAAAAATAATTAGGAGGTGTTCAGATCAAGTTTTTCGTGCAGAACAATCTGAGAACTCGCTGGCGGATCTGCTGTGTCTTCACCCCATAGACTAGAGGATTGAGCACAGGAGGCACAAGGAGATAGAGTGTGGCCAGAAGAACATGGACATGATGGGGTACATGGTGGCCAAACCGGTGAGTGAGGAAGGAGAATAGTCCAGGGACATAGAAGACCAGGATAACACAAACATGAGACCCACATGTGCTAAAGGCCTTAAGTCGGGCCTCACCCCCTGGTACCTTCAGCACCGCCCGGAGGATGTGGGCATAGGAAATAGCAATGGCCATAACATCCAATCCAATCACAAGCAGTGCCACAGCCAGCCCATAAGTTCGGTTCACTGTGGTTTCTGAGCAGGAGAGTTTTACCACAGCCATATGTTCACAATAGGTATGGCCTATGACCATGACCTGACAGAAGATAAGGTTTTGCAACAGGATAGGGAAGGGGACAAGAAGGAGTATTCCCCGCACAAACACTGTCATTCCAATACGTCCTATGACCCCTGGATGCAAGATGGTGGAATGCTGTAGGGGGTAACAAATGGCTACATAGCGATCCAGAGCCATGGCCACAAGTACACCTGACTCCATGGAGGAGAATGCATGGATGAAGAACATCTGGATCAGACAGACAGTGTACCCAATTTCATGGGCATTATCCAGGAGCACTGCAAGGGCTTTGGGTGCAGTGGAAGTGGCCAGGACCAGGTCAATGGCAGCTAGCATGGCCAGGAAGAAGTACATAGGCTGGTGCAAGGATGGATCCATACAGATGATGATGAGAATAGTAACATTGCCCACTAGAGCAAGGAGGTAAAGGATACCCAGGGGCAATGCTATCCAGTGCTGACTTTCCTCTAAACCTGGAATACCTACCAGGAAAAAAGAAGCCTGGGGTAGCCTCCAGCTGGAATTGCTAAGCGCCATCATCAATGATTGAAAAGGAAAAACAGAAAGGAAATCAAAGGCATGATTTCTCCATTCCTGGTATTTCATCACGTTGTCCAGATCTGTCTACCATCTCCATGAGACGAATAAAGAGAATTGAACTGCAACACAAGGGAATAAAGTTAGATTAGATAGATAGATGGTAGAAAAGAGAAAGAGAGAGAGAGAGAGAAAGAGAGAGAGAGAGGAGTTGGGGTCTTGTTCTGTCAACAGGCTGAGGGGCAATGGCATGATCACAGCTCACCACAGCCTTGACCTCCTGCACTCAAGTGATTCTACCACCTTACCCTCCTGAGTAACTGGGACTACATGTGCCACCAAGCCCGGCTAGTTTTTTTAAAAATCTTTTGTAGAGATGAGGTCTTGCTATATTGCCCAGGGTGATCTCAAATTCCTGGGCTCAAGCAATTCTTTCATACCATGGCCTCCCAAAGTGCTGGGATTACAGGTTGAGCCACTGTGCCCGGCTTGGATAAATTTTTTACAGGTGTTTGATCCTGTGGTTTTTTATCCACATGTTTGAATTAATATTGGTTTAATATATTTAGAGATAAGAGTGAACATGCTGCTTTTGGAGAGATGCTTAACTCTAGCATTCAATTACTTATGTTTGGAACTATCAACTTAAAAGAATTCTCTTTATTGAACTCTTGGCATACTGAACACTATAAACCAATCTGTTGTTTTCGAAATTAGTTTCCCTTGGTTTCCATGACATAGTCTTCTGCAGTTGTTCCTCCTGTAGCCCTAGTCCCACCATTTTCTCCATCTCATTATGTTGTTGATTCTAGGGTTTCATCCTCTCCTCTTCTCTCCATTTTTTACATTATCTTATAATTGAATTTATCCATTCCCATGGTTATAACTATTTATATAATTTTATTCCTTCCAATCCAAGTTGCTTTGTCAAATGCATTTCTAAAACACAAATCCATTTTTCCACTTATTTCCTGAACATCTATACCACACCCTCAGCATATTCAAATCTGCATTAATTTACTTATCCTTTGCAAATGTGCTCCACCTACTTTTGGCAATATTTTTGTAAATTATATCACTATCTACCTACCCAATCCAATCTAGAATCTTAGAAGCTCTCCTTATTCATTATCTCTTATCCCTTTTATCCATTACCAATTCCAACTGACTTATTTTTCAACCTGTCTTATAACCACTCTTTTTTTTCCCAGCCCCCAATGCCATTGCCTTAGTCATACTCCTACCTTCTCTCACCTGGACTGTTTCATGACATCTCCAAGTCTTTGCTATAGACTATTCCCAATTCACTCTTAATTCTGAAGTTAGAGGGAGTTTTGTTGTGGTTGTTTCAACTTTGTGAGACCTCATCTCTACAATAAATCACAAAAACTAGCCAGATGTGGTTGCGTGAATCTGTAGTTCCAGTTACTTGGAAGGCTGAGGCAGAAGGTCCGCCTAAGCCCAGCAGGTCTAGGCTGCGATGGTCATGATCATGCTACTGCACTCCAGCCTGGGCAATAAGAGTGAGATTCTAACTTAAAAATATATGTATACAGATGCCATCATGTCACTCCTATGTTTAAAATCCTTCAGTGACTCTATTGCATGAAATAAAATCATTCTCTTAATGCTGGCATAAAAGACCTTCAAAGATTATATTTTGTGGATTACTTTTTTCTTACAGGTAACACGTTTCTACATGTAAATGTTACTTTAACCATTCCAACATTCCTGGAATAATATGAGTTTACCATCCTATATCACCTTTTATGTATTCTTACTTACTCTTCTTTTATTTGAATTGGTTCTTCTCATCCTTCAAGATTCAGAGTTCACCATCTCCCCTTGAGAGCACTCATCGGGTCAACACTGATTATATTAGGAGTACTTTATGCTCTTCCTCTGTTCCTCCATAACTTTCTGAATTATCTCTATCATAGAAATCTTGTCAGTGTCTTAATGGTTTGTTTTTTTAAAAAAGGAACCAATCTAGTTAAACTTCCTAATTATAAGCTAATACAGTGAATGTTTCACAACGTAGTGTGATAAATACAAGCTATGGAGACAGACAGACTTGGTTTAATTGCTGTCCATTTCATACTTTAGGAACAAAACCTTGAAGACTACTAAAAGTTTTGAAGTCTTAATTTCTTAATCTGATAGTAGAATAAATAATATCAAGCTTACAGGGTTTTTTTTGATAAATACTAATTAAATGATATGTGTTAGGTCTTGATATATAGATTATTTTATAAACTATAGTGATTGTTATTTTTAACATTAATAAAAAAGATGACTGAGTATATGATCATAAACCTCTTTCCTTTTTTCTTCGTCTCCATGACACTGCTTCTCTGTTTAGAATTTTTGGTATGGCTATTTTTATCATGACGATGCAATAATTTAATATCTGTGATACTCACATGTTACCATAAAGTACCAAATAAATAGGTGCTCTTTTTAACCTTCTCTATGAGCCTCACACATCAGGTGTTAAAAGAAAAAAATTCGAAACTGAATCTATTTGTATCTACATGTTTGTTATAAAACATAGATACGGTCCAAAATAATTGTATTTTTCTATGTGGTATTGGTGGTACAAATGTATGTAAAAATGAAGAGTCAAGAATGACTCAATTTTTGTAAATAAGGCATCTATAGATCATTAGCAGTACCTTTTTTTATAAACTTAAGTGTGACTATAATATTGCTCCAAAACTCTGAATATGAGAGCTATAAAGACTGAAATGCCTGATGAACACGTATCTCCCAGTCTTGCTTTTCTTCCAGAGTCAACTTAAAATAACAGTGACATTTTTATTGAGGACTTCAGGGGGCTCTCATAATCTTACAAAAATTTACCTTTCAGGGTTTGATATTCCACATAGTGAGAAAGTTGATTCTCTTTTTAGCTACACCCCTTCTGTTGCAAAGTTTCAGCCTATTTCTCATTGTTTAGTTGAGAAGTCAGAGAGCAGCTGTGCATTTGTGGACAACACCCACAGCTTCAATAAGAACAGCATCAGTGGGGCATTGAGGCTGTATCCCACGTATCTATTTTTTAAAAAGAAAGAAACAGAAGAGCAGACACACATGCTTGAGGACAACATACCTCTTCTATGTGCTGCATAACCAGTCAGCCTAGAGCAAAAGCCTGGAGCTGCTTGTTAAGTAGTTACCTAAGTAAATAGGAAATCCCACTGTGATTCTTAGAGGAAAAGCAGAAGAGACTTTATTCCCTGGAACCTGAAGATGAAGCTGCATTTAGTTCTCTTACCATGAAATAGAAGACAATTAGCAAGGAACTGATGTTAACTCCTACTTAATCAAGTAAATTCAATCCAAGCAACCAATCCTGTGTGAATCTATGCTTGAATGCTGTAAGGCAACCTATCCTGTCTCCTTTTCTTCTCTAACATAATGCCTTTAATATCTTGCTCTTTGCATTGATGACCTTGTACTCAGTGGCTCAAGCCTGTAATCCCAGCACTTTGGGAAGCCAAGGCAAGAGGATTGCCTGAGCCCAGGGGTTCAAGGCCAACCTGGGCAATTTGGTAAGCCCTCATCTCTATGGTATATTAAAAAATTAACCAGGTGTGGTAGTGCATGCCTATAGTTCTGGCTACTTGGAAGGCTAAGGCAGAGGAATCGCCTGAGCCCAGCAGGTTGACACTGGGGTGGCTGTGAGTGTGCCACTGCACTCCAGCCTGGGTGACAGAGTGGGACTCACTCAAAAAAAAGAAACCAAACAAACAAAAAAGAATAGGGACTGTGCTTTGCTTATCGCAGCAGCCCCAGGACCAGCTCCAGAAGACCTGGCATCTGGTCAGTACTCAGTAATGTTGGCTGAATAAATAAACATCTGTAAGATTAAATAAGACAATAGATAAATTTGTGTTTGAGTGTCTGTAAAAATAGGGAATTGTGAGAACTTGACAAGGCAGAGATTGAATTTAAGGATAGGAATAACGTAGCAGAGAGTAGAGTGTCTTTTGAGGGGGCTACTGATGAACCTCAATAGTCCTCCTCGTAAGTGATGTGCTGAGCACTGCATGGCAAAAATAGCCCTGCTGAATCTCTTGCCATAAGAAACAAATTCTAGATGTATGTCAGAAATAAAGGGATTCCTATGGTCCTAAGTAGACACTTGTGCCACTGCCTTTAGTGGGCAGGGAAGCTTCTTTGTGGGATATGACTTGTCTCTCTCTCTCTCTCTCGCTTTAGTCTTCTTTTTAACAGTGACCTGGACTCTATGATAGTGGGGTGTGGGGAAGGGGAATGAGAGGCAAAAACTGAGACAGAGAAAGGGTAGGAGAAGTCACAGAAATAGTGGGTCCATGATAATGACCTAATAAAAGACAAAGATACAGACATCAAACACTCAGAGGAAGAGCTCCAGTCAACAGATCTGAGACTCATAGATCAACAACAAAATAATTCTAACTGTTCTTCTGGTCTCTGTGCTGTCTTTGAGGATACACACTTTCAAGTCTTGTCAGCTCTGAGGGAGACTCAGCCACAGATAGAGAACTAGGCAAAAGAGATATTCCCAGACTCAAGAACGTTCCATGGCAGCCCTCCCTGCTCAGCTCCAGGAACACCCTGAGTCTCCAGTTCAACCTCCACAATGACTTTCAGCCCTGACTTGGCAATAACAATGAAGGGAATTTTTTCCTTGGAAGAGCTATACAGCAGTCTCTGAATGCCAAAGAGGAAAACAAATGTATCACTTGAGATCTGTGCAGTTATTTTCCAAAGATATGAAGCATGGATACCAACTCTGGTAAGACTTGAGTTAGGGAGGTCAATCAGCTATATCCACATGCACTATATGTGATGGCAAGAATGCAACCACCTAGGACCATACAAAATGCCCCATGTGAATGCTTCAGGTTGACCATGAAGGTTTAATCAGATTGGTAGATGTCTGCAAACTTGCAGGTTAACTTGCAGCAATATGTCCTCCCCTAATCTCTGTTTGTTTATGTTTTTTATCTCTCTCCTATTCTCACTACCATACAATCCAAGTCACTGTCAAGAAAGACTAGCTGGGCATGGTGGCTCACACCTGTAACCCTAGCACTTTGGGAGGATAAATCAAGAGGATTGCTTGAGCCCAGGAGTTTTAGATCAGGTAATCAACATAATGAGATCTTGTTTCTACAAAAATAAAGAAAATTAGCTGGCACACCCTTGTAGTCCCAGCTACTTGGGAGGCTTAGACAGAAGAATCTCCTAGCCCAGGAGTTTGAGGCTATAGTGAACCATGATTGTGCCACTGTATTGCAGCCTGGGTGACAGAGTGAGACCCTGACTCAAAAAAAAAAAAGGAAGAGAGAGAGAGAGATCACAGCCCACAGCACATGGGAGACCCCTCCCTGTCCACTAGGAAATAAATGATAGAAGCTAGAAAGAGAGAGTTGGTTTTGAGGAGTCAGATCTGGAGAAAACAACTACTCTTGACTTGGGGAGAAACAAACTAAAGACTACTGTCAGACCACAAGTATTGGGAGACTCAGAGCCATACTAACCAAGCCAAGAAATTACCATCTCACAAGAGCTATGGGAAAGACAGAAGTCAGTTGTCAACAGTCTTCCCCCAACCACAAGCCCCAAACCTGACCTCATTTTCCACTGCTGAATTTTTGTGCACTAACTCATCTCTGGTTCTTTGTGAAAGTTCATTCTTGATATTTTCCCATAGAGGGATGGTGCCTGTGAACAAGGCACTGGGCAGGCAAAATGTTATAAACAATTGGCAAATCCCAGAGGACTCACAGACACCTGAACAAAGCCAGAGTTAGCCTCCAGGTCGGCAGGCGGCACCCAGAGTTAATGATCCAGCCCACAAGGGTGGATGTTGGGCAGAGAGGCAGAACAGGGAGTGGCACCTACACCTAACCAGTTGGCCCCATGTCTGTACAGTGTTAGCCTTTACTCCCAACACGCACATCATGGTGGTGTGCTAGGAAACAATGCTATGAGCTGGGAAATTTCACATTGCTCTGTGAGTTCAAACTCCTCGTTCTCACAACAACAATCTTGGATCTCAGTAAACTCTTCAGTGGTTGCTGCAATTAAATGTGCTTATCTCTCCAGGTGCTATAATTGTTGGCTGCTAGACGTTCATAACTCTCCTTTGGCCAAAAAGAGCATCCTCATCCAAGGTTACTTTTCCTTCTCCAATTCACACACATTGGTGACATAAAAATACTAACACCTAGTCCCCTTTCTTCTATCTTAAACAACACTGAAAGGTCATACCAGATCAGGAGGTCCCTGTGGGCTAGCTGAGGCATCTGAGACAACTGGATCATAGTATATCTTCTCCTTCTGCCCCATGTTATTTTTCTCACTCCCTGACAGTCCTGTGTATAATTCACAATGCATTTCCTGCATGCAAATCCCTGCTACCTACCTCAGGTGAGTTGAGTGTTTTGCATCTCCTCTGCAGAATTGTGACAGACCCAAGGACTTCAACCCCATTGCAATGGCAATTATGAGACAAGTCGAACTTTAGGCAGTCTAGTCTGTGAAGTTCCCAATGAGACGTACTGAGTCCTCCTTTATCATACTTTTCCATCACAAGCAGACCCTTCCCTTTGTCCCATCTCTTACCAAGTAGCTGCCCGCTCCACTCAGAAATCACAGTCTTCTCTTGTATGCTTCAAGCATACAGCCCTTTCATTCATCCATTCAACAAGCATTTCATTCAAAGTTGGTGAGAAGCCCCTTTTATTTATTTATTTAATAAATAAGAAATACATACTAATTCCACATATTCTATCTACTAGATGTTGGAAAAAAACAAACAGTATGATGAATTGGTCCTCATGGGTCACAGGATGATATATGTTAGGTAAATGATCACAAGTAATTAATGACAGTTATAAGTGTTATATCAATTAAAACTGCAGTGTTTTAAAGTGTATAACAAAAGGACTTTTCCAGACTGGAGAATTCAGGAAAATCCTCCCTAATTCAAGTTAATGACTGGAAGAATCAGTTAAAAGTAAAGGAAGGTGTGGCAGTAGGCTAAAGGTACAAAATCTATGAGGCAGGAGGGAAGGGAAATTGGTATTTTCAAAGACTTTTTAAAAGGTTTAAAATTCAGCATTGTAGTATTCAGGAACTAAACCTAGGGTATAAGCAGAAACCTGAGAATGTAGGATCTTTTACACCATGTTAAAGGACCATAAAAAACCATAAAAACTTTGAAGGGGAGGATTGAGACATGATAAAAATCTCATTAGCAAAATATTATCCTAGAAGAATAGACAGGGAGGGACTAAACATAGCTGATGTGAGATCTCTTGGGAAGCAAATGCAGTAATCTCTAGAGAAGCTTAAGGATATGTCATGGGGATGGGTAGATGAGGTAAGTATTTTCGGGGATAAATAAATCAAGAATATGGAAAACCAGAGTATTCAATAGGTTACTGACATGAATACTGATGTCTCCCACCAGGATCATGGGTGGTTAAAAAAAAAAAAATTAACACAATTTTGACTATGTCATCACTTAATGAAGAAGAATAAAGAGAAAAGATAATATTTACTGGGAGTGGTACAGAATGATATATGTGAATGGCATGAATCTCAAAGAAGCACCTGTCTGTGCTTGTTTTTATAGGAAAGAACTGCAACTTGTATTTGAGAACAAAGAAACTAATCTCACCACCAAGTCAAAGGTAGTGGGAGTATTGAAAAAATAAGTGGTCCTCATTTAGTGGAAAGTATAACATTTTATCAGACATAAAAATTAGAATATCAATAGTACCAGGTTCATTTGCATTTGGGAGCATTAAATGAAAGTGTGTGTGCAAAGTTTTTATTTCAAAGACTCAAGGTACTATGGAGTAAAAGTTGAACACACAACAGCTGGCCTTGTTTCAAGAGTTCTCATTAATACAACACATTCAGGGTAGGATTCTTCAAAACGAGTTTGCCCATAACACTTAGAGATCTCTAAGCCCTCATAGCAGTGAATCTGTCTTGTGACAGTAATCATGTCCTTCATTTTGGACACTCTGCACAGTGTTCAAAATACCACCATTTGAAATTACAACCTTTGAAAAGACTAAATTTTGATTATATTAGTTATGATGATTGGTAGTCAAGAAGCTGTCATGAAAATTTATGTATTCATTTATTCAAAAACACACATATATTAATATAGCCAACGGAGAAGTATGCTAATAGTCACACAGTTCATTAAAATAATGAGATTTATTTATTAAGCAAGCATTGTGAACATATCACATGCCAAGAACCATGCTAAAAATACAATAGAAATCACAATCTAGTAGGGATAGGGAACAGATTTCATTCTTCAAATAAAAAAGTTTGTGTATAATTATAAATAATAATAAATAATACAATAAACACCACACAGTACTTTGAGACTTAAAAAAATGATTTGGTATAGTTAGAAGAATATTTAAAAAATGATTTGGTGTAGTTAAATCTCTGAGGAGTGGAGGTTTGAACTGAGTTTCAAGAGTAGTAACAATAATGACAAGAACAGGGAAATGCACTCCCTTTAGGAGGAGCCTGGACAACCCTGGCTGGAGGAAACATACACATTTAAGGAGCTAAAGGAGAACATTTATGTATATTAGGAATCTATAACATTCAAACAACAATACATATATTTTAAGGATTGTGAATATGTAAGAACTATCACAAACACATTAAATGGTAGGAACTGGAAAAGGAACGGGCAAGAGAGTTAGAAATGACAAAAAATAAACAAACAGAACAAGAATCAGAACACTGGTTATTGAATACAATAAGCTTATGGTATGATTAACTCAGATCTCTGCGGCTGAAACTAAATATGAAGAAATAATATTACAGGAGTCCTAGAGGGTCATTCATCTCAAAAATAGATGGGAAAAGTACATAGAATAAAGAAAACAAGCTTTATCTGCAATTCTGGAGTCAGATGGAATATAAATATTTTAGAGTTTCTTTCATAAACGAACTCTAATTTATCTCCAGCTTGCCAACACGTCCCCCCCACCCACCCTCACCACCCCCAACAGCCTTTCTCTGAAGCTGAAATTTCTCTGGTAGAGAGGCCTACACACTTCCATGGACTGGCTGTGCATGAGTGCTGTGGTGTTTAAAATATTTTTTTCATATTTTAAAACAGGTATACAGTTTACCTCTCCCTGAACTCTCAAATCACTTGAATTCAGTTTCATCAAAGTCCTATTTTTTCTTAGTTACTTGATGCATTTATCTTATCAACACAAATAAACTTTTAGAAGAAAGTGGTATCAAAAAAATATTTGCTGATTGATCTATTGAGATATTCTGGTCTTTCCTGTTCTTCTATCCCCAAATCTAAACACCATAAGGCCTCATAAAAGAGCCCTCAATGTACAAACACCCAAGATAACTTCATTTGCTTTGTCTTCACTGTCCCCTCCAGGTAAATGATCTGGGACGTGGTGCTTCCACACCATGAGGGAAGGCCACCCTAACCCCTGAGGTCTAGTTGATAAGAACTATACTCAGATGGGCTCAATCCTCTTGGGGCTCAGAATTGTAAATAGCCGCTCCCGGATCTGCTTGGTCTTGACACCATAGACAATAGGATCTAGTGCAGGGGGAAACAGCAAATAGAGATTTGCAAGGATGACCTTGGCAGCAGGGGCTGTGGGTGGCCCAAAACGCTGCATAACCACAGAAAGAAAGCCTGGTCCGTAGAAGAAGAGGATGACACAGACATGAGCCGTACATGTGCTGCCAGCTTTAGCACGTGCCTCAGGTGAAGGAAAATGCATCACAGTCCTCACAATTTGCCCATAGGAGTAGGCAATAAAGGCCACATCTCCCACACCAAGAAAGATTGCCACTGCAAAGGCATAGAGGTTGTCCACAGTGGTGGCCCTGCAGGCCAGCTTCACCACAGCCATATGCTCACAGTAGGTATAGGCAATCGTGTGTGAGGCGCAGTAGGGCAACCGATGAGCCAGGGTTGGAAAGAAGATGGTCAATCCCACGCCTCGCAGCACTACCAGGCCTCCAATCTTGGCAACAATGGCAGGGGTAAGGATGGTTGAATAACGAAGTGGGTTACATATGGCCACAAAGCGGTCCAGGGCCATAGCCACTAGCACTCCCGACTCCATGGCAGAGAATGCATGAATGAAGAACATCTGGGAAAGACAGGAGTGGGAGCTGATGGCTGTAGCACCAAACCAGAAAATGGCCAGCATCTTGGGCAGTGTGGAAAGGGAGAGGACCAGGTCGACAAAGGAAAGCATGGCAAGAAAGAAAAACATGGGCTGGTGAAGGCTGTGATGTGTCCTGATGAGAAAAAGCAGGACACCATTCCCAGTCAGTGCCAGGAAAAACATAAAGCAAAAAGGAAGTGAGATCCAAATGTGGGCAGTAGTCAATCCCGGGATGCCAGCCAAGAAGAAAGTACGTGGGAAGAGATGAGAATTATTGGAAAGAATCACGGTTATCATCTCACATGAAAGAACAAAGTGACACTGCAAAGAAAGGCAGGCAGGTGAAATTCAATGATAGGGGAGTGGAGAGCTTAGGATATGTGCTTTCACTAACATCATCACCACATCATGCTCCCCCATGGTTCTCAGAAAAGAGTCAAAAATAATTTTCAGTTTAGTCAACATTTATGCAAGGTCTTTAAACATAGGACAGGCAAGTCAGTAGGAAATACATTGGATGAGATTTGTCCAGTGGGCAACGCATTACACAAGAAGTTCAGAAACCAAGTTCCAGGATTTGATATCCTACAGTATGTGTGACTTGGAGCAATTCACATAACCAGATTTAAGTAGATCCCCAGGAATTGTTATTGATTAAAAATTTTTCCTATTGAGCTCATATTCCCATGTTCCAAATTATGGATTTAGTTAGTACTGACCTCAGACAGTCCTCTATTCTTATTCCACTATCCTTCATCTGAAACTGCCAAAAATCTTAACACCTAGGAAATCCCTTAATTTGGAGACAGCCCTCTCTTCCAAGCATCATTTGACTGTCACTGTTATAGAATAATATGTGATCCCTGATGACTCAAACATTGATCAGGCTCTTCCTTCTACTTCGCTTACTTCTTTACCCAATATCTCCATGGCTGTATGATTTTGCCACCTCCTGTATTTCCCTCTCCTTCAAGGTGGTGTTATCCAGGAGTAGACAAAAAGTTCATAATTGTGGTGGCCTGGTATAAACGGAAGCTCTTGGCAGTAACAATTATGTGAAGCCAGGTAGATCTTATAACCTTAATGATATCTATAAGAATTCTCTAAGCATGAAGAAAAAGAAAAGTCTGCCCAGAACATAGCCCAAGAAAGATGAAACAATCAAAAAAGGTTTTGCCTTTCTTTCCATGAGAATCATGTAATTATTGCCCATGCCTTCAATTGGAAAGAGACTATATCATGACAACAGAAGGTGTGAGCACTGAGAAGATGAAAAATATAAGTGAACCTATAGTTCTGTTGTCATGGAATAAACTCTAAACCAGGAGTAAGAATCTTGGTTTGGGGTACTATTTCTGCCATAATGTCTTCTGTGTGACCTTCAGCAAATCATCTAACCATTTTCAAGCCTTAATTTCCTCATGTGTAAAATGAGTTTACTAAAATCTACTTTATAGGATCATTGGGAGAATTGAATGAGTTATGTAAAAATTATTGTCAAATGCTAAAAATTTTATTGTTATTTTCACTGAATTATAAATAATAAATGGTACATTGGGAACAGTCTAATTAAGAGCAATAGACTTTTGAAACTGAGAGACAATGCACTTGATTTGGAAAAGATGACTATATAAATACATTCCATGAATGGATGATGCATGGTAGTCAACTTCAGCAACCCAGACAAAAACATTATATCCTTCCCTACGTTTCTCCCTTCTTTCTTCCCAATACATATTATTTCCCTCAGCAATCCCAGAGTGTGGTGTTGGGAAGAGGATGGAAGTGTCAAGAAATGTGGCTCTGATCACCTAAGCATCTGCTTCAAGTTACCCTCAAGGCTACCCATCCTTAAATCTCTATCTTCAGAAAACTCGAAGAAATAATTACACCTGATGTCCCAACTACCCTCTAAGGACCCAGAAAGTGTTCCTTAATTATATCCCTGTTCCTCAAAAAAAATTCAGAGCCAGTAAGTTCAGTTCTTTTGCCTCCAGCAGGGAAGCAGGTAAAGGGAGGCAATGGATTCAGGTTCCAGAGGAATCAAGAACTCAGATTTCGAGGTGTTCATAAATGTTTTCTTATGATGACTCACCCCATGGGCTTCAAAGAGGCACAAAGTTCCAAACTGCCTGCCACTAATCCAGAACCAGAGGAGCTTTTCTTCTTTGGAGTGAGGAATTCCCACATACTCATTCCACTTTTGCAGGTTTCATACAATACCAAAAGTTAAGAAAAGCTTCTGACAGTGTATACAGTATTATTTGTATTTTTTTCCCTAGTGATATTGAGATCATGCAGTTCCACCCCAAAGAGACTATCAAATTGTCCCGATCTGGGAAGGTTGGAGAAAAGTTAATATATGGTTGTAGCCTATATGTATCTCTCCTCCTTGGCTCTACCTTTAGCCATTACTCACCAAACAGCTGTACTGATTGACCTAGAGAGGGATGAGAAGTTAAGCTACCAGTTGAGTCTCAAGAACAGGGTATTTAATGGGCATCTTTTCAAGCATTGCCTGTAGGGATCCAAGGTGACGCTCCTACCACCTAGAAACCAATTAGTACTTCTTCCTCCTCTTCAAATAAAGTTCTAACAAGATTTCTTCCTCTTATCGGGGCCTTAGGGAACAACTCCAGCAGGGGATATTTTGAACAGCATACTCTAGGTTGCCTTGTCAAGAGGAAACCAAGGCCCTGAAGCCAGAAGCAAGGAAAGGCTTCCATGGGGAATGGAAGGAAAGGCTTCCATGGGGAATGGAACCAACTAGCTTGATAGCCTGTAAAGATCTGATCTAGGGAGGGTGAGTAGGAAGGTAGGGAGATGGAGAGAGGGGCACACCAGACCCCTTCTTCCCACAGGACAAGCATAGAACATTACCTAGAAGACTCCCACTGGTATAGGTAGGACCATGAGAAAAACAGGTGAATTAATAAATGGGAGACTTAAGCCGGGCTCGGTAGTTCAACCTGCAATCCCACGCCTTTGGGAGGCTGAGGTGAGTGGATTGCCTGAGTCCACGGGTTCAAGACCCGCCTGGGCAGCGAGACCTCATCTCTACAATAAATCAAAAAATCAGCCGGGCATTGTAGCACATGCCTGTAATTCTGGCTACTTGGAAGGCTGAGGCGGAAGGATCACTGGAGCCCAGCAGGTCAAGCCTGCGGTGGCCAGGAGCGGCCACTGCACTCCAGTCTGGGTGATAGAGTGAGACTCCAACTCAAAAAAATTAAAAATTAAAAATAAATGGGAGACTTTATAAGAAGGAAGAACCTGACCAGAAAATAAGACTGAAGAAAATGGCAAATGTTCCCCATGCCTAGACTTGAAATGGTAGGTACAAGGACAGACCAAGTCTTGTAAGTGTTACTCAACAACTTTAATCCTTTTTAATGAGTCTTCCTACATTTGACTCTCCTCTCAGTCACCAAAATCACTCCTGAAAATAGTGTCAGATTAATCTATGGAAGGGTATAAAGGATTTGGACATTATATTGGGTAGACAGAAATTGGAGGCTTGAGTATATTTAGCTTACATAGGAGAACTCTTCTAGTACCATGCATGATTCTTCATATAATCTTCAAATCCAGCAAGAAATTCCTGTTGGAGAAAAATTTATGTTGTATGAAGTCAAAGGAAAAAACAAAAGCAAATACATAAAAGTGTGCATGCATATATATATGTGCATGTGTGTGTGTGTGTGTGTGTGTGTGTGTGTGTGTGTGTGTGTGTGTGTATTCAAGACTCAACCAGACCTATGTGTCATCAGATTGATAATTCCTTATTAGAAAATCAGAGATCAACACAGGCTATACTGAAAGAGAACAGTACAGCATTCATTGGGAATGGTCAGTACTCACAATCAGGTCATACATTTAGGAAAACCATGTTATAAGGGTACTGACTCAGTTTCAGAAGGAATGAGAAGACATAGCAGGTGTTATTTCAAGTAGAAGCAAGATTATAAACCCTAACATGAAATATCCAGTTTTCTGACAAAGAAGTCAGGATTTGTAGCAGTGAATTTATACAGATGATGCTATGACACCACTGAGACAACAGGAGATATATATTATGAAGTAGCAAAATACCAACCCAGAAACCCGGTAGAGAAAGAAGGAATAGGCAGAACAACTAACAACTAACAAGTACAAACACAAAGACAGCCCAAGAGGAACTGAGGATATAGACAAGAACTGAGGTCCAGAAAATAAGGGAAAGTCTTAGAACAGGGATATTAGTGTGAATGTAAACCTCACGACTGAAACTCTTAATCTTCTCTGAAAGTCAGACAATATGTAAAACATAAAGCTATCAGGACAAGGCTGAAGGTCTAAACATTGTCAAGAGTCCTTGGATTAATAACATAGATCAAAAAAATATTTCCTGATTTCCTTCTCTTGCCTAATCGCTCTAGCAAGGACTTGCAGCACTATGTTGAACAGGTGGGTTGAGAATGGGTAACCTTGTCTTGTTCCCATTTTCAGGGGGAATGCTTCTAACTTCTGTCCATTGAGCAATATGTTGGCTATAGGTTAATCATAGATGGCTCTTACTGTTTTGAGAAATGTTCCTTCCATGCCTAGGTGTTCAAGAGTTTTTTTCAGGAAGGGATGCTGGGTTTTATTAAAAGGTTTTTCTGTGTCTAATGATATAATCATGTGGTTCTTGTTTTTACATCTGTTAGTATATTGAATTATGTTTATGGTCTCACAAATGTTAAACTAGCCCTGCATTGTGGGAATAAATCCTACATGGTCATGGTGGATGATTCTTGAACTGTTTTGCTGGCTCTGATTTGCTAGGATCTTATTGAGAATTTTTGCGTCTATGTTCATCAAGGAGACTGGCCTGTAATTCTCTTTCCTTGTCAGGTCTTTGCCAGATTTTAGTAGCAGAGTGATGTTTGCTTCATAAATGATTTGGGGAAAGTTCAATATTTCTCATTTGCCAGAAATAATTTTGATAAGATTGGTATCAGCTTATCCTTGTATGTTTTGCAGAATTCATCTGGAAAGCCATCTGGTCCAGGACTTTTTTTTTGTAGGTAGACTTTTTTATAACAAAGTCGATTTCCCAGATTGTTACTGGTTGGTAGAGCTTTCAACTTCTTCTTGTTTCAACCTTGGAAGATTGTGTGATGTCAGAAAGTTCTCCATTTCCTTCAGGTTTTCTTTTCTTTTCTTTTCTTCATTAAATTTCTTTTTTCCCCCCTCTCTTTTAATTTTTATTTTGAAATTGTGGGGTACAATTCAGGGTTAGGTATACAAATGTTCCTTGTGCAGGTAACCTTATT